AGAGAGAGAGAGAGAGAGTTTGAGAGAGAGAGAGAGAGAGAGAGAGAGAGAGTTTGAGAGAGAGAGAGAGAGAGAGAGAGAGAGAGAGAGAGAGAGAGAGAGCGGGCATCAACGCGATCGTTTGTCAATTCCCTACTTTGCTCTCCTGCGCCGTCTCGCTCTCTCGTACCTTTTCTTTTTCGTCTCAGGCACGGGTAGAGCTTGGGTCACGATGGCGGCCACAGCGGGTGATGGTTCCAAGATGGGTGGCTTGGCTCGTACGGCTGCGGCGGTGCTTCGAGACCCCGTCCAAGTACGCGACAGAGTCCCTTGCAGCGCTTTTTTTTCTTTGCTGCTGTTGAGTGTACGGCGCCACGCTCATCATAGTCTCTACTGACGTGGCGCCCGCAGATTCAGGGGCGGGTGAAGGATGCCGATTTGCACGTGCTCGTTCTGGCGTACACAGACTGCACCTGGGTGACGCTCAACCAGCGGGGTACTTTTGGCACCATGGTTTGTTCTTTCGCCGACGGAGTGGGGGTCCGAGTGGAGCAGCATAAGCTTGAGGCACAGATTCGAGTTGTTTGGTTTCGGGGTTAGTCTCATTCCGGGTGCAACCTTTTTGATCGCACCTGCTTTTAGGCTCGTGTGCGTTTGACGGCTTCGGGAGACACCGATATTGATGTGCTGCTCGGTGATACTCTTCAGGTGAGGAACGTGCATTGCAATTTTTTTTTTGTTGGCAGTCATACGTGATCTGGTGCTTTCTCTTCATGTGACTATTTGGTCCGCTCCTTATCCACTGACTAGCTGGGCCAGAACATCTTGGCTGGCAAGGCGGCCGTGGCAGCCATGCGCAAGGGGCTAGCACCACCCTCGTTGCCAGTGTTGGTCACCATGTCCATGATCGATTATAGTAAAGAGACGGTGCAGGCCGTCGAGAGTTTTCTGAATGAGACCCTCCCCAAGCAGTCTTAAAAGACCGTTGTAGAGTATTGTAGAATGTGATCGCATCATTCCGTGCTCACAGCGCCTTGTTTCTGGTGAGGCACCACGGGACGAGTGCGATGTTTCGAGTGTTGTGCTTGCATTTATGAAGAAGGCTTACACCTTGGACAGAAAGGTCTGCCGAGCGGGCCCAGGCATCAGCAGTCAGAATCAATCGATGTGAGCGTGAGCCTTTCCTCCAATCCAGATGGACCGAGCAATTCCCACGCGCGCAATCACCGCCAACGTACCACGACATAGACTGAAACGAGGATGTAGGCAGCAATCTTGTAGCACGTCGAGGTGGCAGCTCTCATGCAAATGGACACATACAAGGCATTATCGTCCTTGCGAAACTTGCTCACTTGGGCACGCACATCTTGAGCTGTCCTCGCGCAGGGTGGCCAGCATCGTGAGCAAGCCGGGGCGACCACAATACAAGGTTTGCAGAAGCACCAGCAAGCTGGGGCAGCGCGTTGAAGACGTACCCAGGGCCGGATAAGCCGAGCGCAGCTTGTCAAAGGCTTCCTGGTTCAACAAGAAGACTTCACATTTGGTGGCAGCTGAGATGGTCTGAGGGAATAGCAATTAAGGCGGCATATCGGGCCCAACATAGCGGATTGAGATTGCCGGGCACGGAAAGAAACCAGCATGCAGACAGGAAAGCAAAGCGCCTGTAGCGCAAGGCGACCACACCAAAGGTTCCACATACCGCCGTACGTTTACTCATGGGACGCATGAGGGCAATCTCGCCGAGAGCAATACCCGAGGGCAGGGTAAACGTTTTGTTCTGCGTTCAACCGAGTGTAGCAAGGTGTCATGCGTTAGTGTTGCCATCAAGTGTTGGTTGCAGCACATGCTGCAGGGCAGAGGCCATTGACGGGATGAATGGCCATTGACTCACGTTGGCTGTGGTGATGGAAACCTTGCCTTTGGCGATGAAAAACATGTGGTGGCCCACCTCCTGTAGAATTGTGTGGTGTGATAGGCATGCAAGGTGAGCTGGGACTTGCTCGTCTTGAATCAGACAAGGAATCACAGCGCCCAACCATGACAACAACGATGCCTGTCGATTGCCTGGGTCAAGGTACGCACGCCAATCGTGGCAAGTTTGCTGCCTGGGGGAAAGGTTTCGTGTTTGAGACTGCTCATGATATCTTCTAAAAACTCTTCGGGGTGCTGTGTAACAGCGGCAGCAAGCACGGAACAGGGAGGCGTGGGGAGGTCGAGTGGTGAGCAAACGCAGTGCAGTCTGTGAATACTGTTCCAAGCAACCTGGCCCGGCTGCTCAGCTGGCCATTGGCTTTTTCTACGATTGACCCATTGGGCAGTGCCGTCATAAACTTGTTGGGTCGAGCGTGGTTGGGTAACGCACCTCATTCATGACGCCTTTGAGAAGCCTGACGTTCTTGATCATTTCTTGGCAAACTTCGTCCAGGTCCTTGTCACCCTCACCCGACTCGTCATTGGCAGCTGCTTCGGCACTCTTGGCCTTGGCGACGGCTTTGCGGCGGAAGAAGCAGCGGGTTGCCAGGATGATCCAATAGAGCACGATCAGACTGACTGGCGAGGTACCAGCAGGTGGCTCCATCTCGAGCAGCGCCCAAGCCTGGGCATTGGTCAGACCCCAGATGCTAGCGAAGAGGATGCATTGGTAGAAGCCATATTTTATAATGTCCCAGTTTAGCTCCTCCACGCCAACGAAATGAGCCAGAGTGTAAGGGAGACGCAACAAGCGTACGGCGCGGAAACGGAATTGGTCCGGAATAAAATCAAATGTGGTCTCATCCAAATAGTGAAGGTCGAAGAGGGCACCAATGTTGAAGAGAAGATGGCGGTTGGCTTCCGCTCGCGCCTTGGCCCGGGAGTCAGGGCCCCGCCAGTATCCATCCTCATAGACAAGGCCAAAAATCAAAAGGCAAGTGTGGTGGTAGAGCGCCAAATCGATGAGGTTATCAATGGCCACCTCCGTTTCTGAATCCTCGTCTGAATTGAGTTGACGACAGGCGAGGATGAGGAAGTAGTAGCCAACAGCGAGCTGAGCTAAGACCTGGGCCGATTTGGCCATGGGCCCATTGGTCTGAAAGATGATCATCTTGGAATGTGCGCCGATTCTGTTTCTCTCTGTTTCTCTAAAACACCCTGTGCAATGCGCTGGGCTCGGGCGCTACCGAGCGGGAAGGCTGTCAGGAGCAAAAAAAGGAGGAAGGAAGGAAGGAAGGGTCTTAGAGTTGCTTTTGTCCGGGTGCCTCGAGCTAGAGTGGGGCCAGGGTCTGTCGCTGTTGCCAACGAGGGAGACTGATGAGTTGAACAAGCTTCAAATCCTGTTTACTGCACACTGCTGCTGGAGCTAGAAACCCAAAACGCGACCAACGAATCAGAGAGGGGCATCGAGCCAAAAGGGGCTATCGTGACCCCTTGTTCCTCGTCTCGTCTGCCGGTCTCGGTCCGGTCTGGGGTTGAAATTGAACCAGCAGCAGCAGTAGCAGCAGCAGCAGCAGCAGTTCCGCTACCAGACGAAACAAATTCACACAGCCTTCGATTGGTTGGTTACCAACAACTTGTCAGAAAAAAACATAAAGAGAGAGAGAGAGAGAGCGATGAATTGGAAAAAGAGAGAAAGAGAGAGAGAGAGACACACACACACACAAACACAGGGGGTGAGGGATGCGCATGGTGGTGTGACGGTGTCAGGCAATCATATTCAAGGCAAGATAGATAGATTGAAAGTTATTGGCGCTTGATCTTAAGGACATTGGAGTTTGGAAAGTGTACGCAGGCGAGGTAGAAATCACCCGTCGCGGAATCCAAAGCCAGTTCGTGGGGTACGTTGCATGAGGTGGATGCAATTGGAATGGTCTGGGTCAGCTCCAGAGCGGCGTCACTTGAGTTTGAAGCGTGTACTGTGTAGAAGCGCAGTTCCTGGCCAAGACAACCAAGATGATGCCATGAGTAACAAGATGCAGGGCCAGACCAGGCACATAAGAATTGGCAGTTGGTGGGCATGTGCATGTGATGTGATGTACGCCGTTTTTTTTTCTTCGTGAGGGTCAACGGATTGGTGAGGTATGACTTTGAGAGATCACTTCAGCATTCGACAGTCACCGACAGACGTGCGCATGGTATGCTGATGCGATGTGTGAGCGTATGGTTGGACGTTACCTGGGTGTTGCCGTCAGCCAGGGCTAGGGTGCCGTGGGCCGAGTCGTAGCGGAGGCCCCACACAGACTGGTTGCCGAGGTCGTACGCCCACATAAAGGTGCCATCCTGGGCATTGAGGGCCTGGATACGGTTGTTGCCACGGTCACCCACAAGAACGGCATGCAAAACATCGACATACGCCACTGTGTGCGGAGAGCTAAACTCGTCATCGCCCGAGCCAGCCCAGCCGCTGGACCACAACAGTTGCCCGTCCTTGAGAGCGATGACGCGGTTGTTGATCCCTCCATCGCCATCACTGATAAAGGCGGAGGTGCCGTCGAAATCAACATCTGCCACGCTGGAGAACTGAAGCGGGTTCAAGCTGCTGCCAGCCAAGCCAGGCGTGCCATAGGTGGCGTAAACCTGGCCTTGCAGCGAGAACTGCCGAACAGTGTTGTCGAGCACGTTGGTAAGCCAGAGGTGCTTGTGCAGAGGGTCATAGTTCATGCCGTGCACACCAAAGGTTGCGTCGCTGCCATACACCGTGTCTGCCCCCCACGTGCTCTCCAGCGTGCCGTTGGCCGTTGAAAGCTGCAGGATCGGGTTGGTGTAGGTCTTGTTGCGCTGCGCGACAAAGACACTGGACCCGACCACGGCCACGGCCGTAAACTGATCTGTACCTGCAGGAAAAGCGCCTTCGGCCGGCCACGTCTTGTCCACACTGTACGTGTTAAACCCCTTCAACATGGTGGGCCGACCCATCACGACCACAGCCAGCCATGTGACTGCCAAAATTGCTGCCGTCGTCATTCCCGCCATGTCGTCGATCCACCATCAACAGAAATCCCGATCAGCCAAAATGAATGCCACCACTTCAAAGTGCCCCCAGCATCACACTTTACTCCCCATGGCGCAGAGAGAGCAACTCTGTGTGTGTGTGTGGCTGCAACACTGCACACTTCATCAGCTTGATCTTGCATGTGGTGCAGTTTGGAATTGACAAACAAAAGGAATCCTCCAGACAATTTGTCACAAACACCTCTCTCTCTCTCTCGCTCTCTCTCGCTCTCTGTCTCTGACTCTCTGTTTCTCTGGCTCTCTCTGTGTGTGTCTCGCTCTCTCTCTCTGTGTTTCTCTCTGACTCTCTCTGTGTGTTTCTCTGTGTGTTTCTCTCTCTCAGTCTCTGGCTCTCTCTCTCTCTCTCTCTCTGTCTGTCTCCGTGTGTCT